AGAGAGTGTCTGTGCTGCAGAATTTGGCGGAGAGTAAAGATGTGGTCGATACAACCTTGACCAGGTCTAAAACAAGCCTGGTTCTCACGCTTGCACTCTTCACGTGCGGCAGATAATCGACGGAGTATGATACCAATGATAAGTTTAGAAGCAATCTTGATTAAAATAATTCCCCTGTGGTTTTCACAGGAGGACCTGTCGCCTTTTTTGTAAACAGGTATGATGACCGATTCACACCATTCAGCTAGTACTTGTTCCCTCTCTCACACTGAACCCAGGAGTTTTATTCACTCCAAAACCAAGGCTGAACTTCCATTCTCAAAAACCGAATGGGGGGCATCCTGTTGGGGTTGGAGGTCTGTATCATACGTTTCAGACCAAACTATGTCAAACAAATCGCGGGATAATAATCCTTATATAAAAGGGAATTGTTCCACTACTTGCTCGATGGCACGATCTTGTTAGGCGACGGAGTTCACAACTGGAGCCTTCGCCTGACCCACAAGGAGTCGGGGCGGTGTGTCAAACTGCAATCTACTGGGGGCCGTTGTCCAGTTCACCGGATCATAGAATTTTTGGACGGGGTCAAACGTTCAACGTGCCGAAGGCACTTGGATGCCCAATCGAACCTGTTGGCCACTATCACAATTAGGAAGGTATGGGTGAATGTGCTTGGGTTCGGAATCAAGGTTTGTGGCCAATTCCCCTAGGTGAACAGCAATTGGTTCATCGACCCGGTTCTGGCCCCAGATATTGGCTTTGTGTTCTCTTACTTTGGTGAGAAAACACCTCCGCAACACGAGAAGATAGTGAGCATGGCTTCCTCAGCAGAGGTTGTTTGATAAGCTTGGTTGGATTGGAGCATTTTGCGAGGTACAAGGGACCGGTGACCAGCCGCAACCTGAGACTGCCACCCGCGACCGTACTGAGGCTTTTATGGAGGCAAAGAACAACATGTCACTATTCTATAGGGTGAACTCCTCAAAGTAACTTTAAAAGGTTCACTGGGGACTGCTCGGGCGCGGGACGGGTAGTGACAAGTACTGCAGAAAATGTATTCAGAACTTCTGAAATGGTGTCCTGGGAGCTCAGATCTTTCGGAAAATCGTGATTAACTGAGAATTTATCTGATACGCAGCAATTTGTGATAAAAGCACTATGATTGGCATAGTTGAAAGGTGAGCAGGATGGGGAACGGAATGATCACTGAGACTGAATTGACGATTAGTCTCACCGGTGGATCACATCTAAAAACGAATCCACTGTTACGGATTATTGATTGAGATCTCTGTTTTTTTTATTAGCTCCCGTGTATCAGACCTTGTTAAGGGAATGATTTTTAGGCTACACCGGTGATTTAATGCCTATTGACAACCGAATTCAGTAGAAACTCAGTTGAATGCCCAGGTGCAATCCGTAAGGAACAGTATTTTTCTGATTGAATATTGTCTTTCATTTTCCTGACTGTTTTTGACCACTGAGCACTGTAGAAAATCAGTACGTCTACAAAGGTCGTGCCTTCCATTGTTTGCATTAATGATTGCTTTATTTGTGAATACCTTCTGCCCTGATAACTGTTGTTCTAAATTCACAATTCTGAGTGGTTTCTTCGGTGAACAACATCCGGTTACATAGTACGCAATTCTTGATCGACTCTGTGGATCGGTAGTCAAATAATTCAACGATCTGTTCGCACTATCGGTTTGCTAAACTAATGTATTCGCTAATCCATTCCAAGATGTCCTGTTCATTGTTAGATATCTTAAGGATCACTGATTCTAATCCTGTTTCATTTTTACTTCCTTTTATTGAATACACAATGATACAATTTTCAGCAATTGGGAAGTGGCCAATCAAAGGGTGGTGGTGGTGCTGGTGGGATTCTCACACGCGTCCTCCACCACCAATGCCTGCGCTCGCCAAACATACTACTCACATATTATGTCTTCTTTCTCCTACTATTGATGTTGTTGTATATAGATAGCCTGGTTCGCAGATTTAGTCTGGTATCGCCACAGAGCTTGATATTCACCTCAGGCCGCCATTTTATCACCCGTTTTTGCTCCTTTCCACCGCTGTCCCTGTCTCTCTGGCGCGCGCACTGGTGGATTGAATATTCCTCGAAAATTCAGTTTCCGAATTCACCGAGGGGACTGTGTTCACCGATGCATTCCTCTTGGATGCTACTGGATCGGATGCGCCAAATCACTGCCGTGGTTTACCGGTCACAGCTCCGCGACATACTGGTATTGTATTGGCCGCGTTAGATTGTATTCCCAGTCGACGTTATTTGGATCAACGTTGCGTATCCCTACATTTACCCCTGTTCGAAAGTGGCACATTAGGCACAAAAGGACATGTACAAGTTGTCCTGCCCGGTTGGACCGAATCGTACAACAGTCAATTTGACGATGATTCCGGTGGTGCGGGAGATGGTGCACCCGGTGCCGGTTCCATTCCCTACTGTACGCTCAAATCATTTCCCAGTTTGCCTGTGCATTGTATTGAATGGGCTCGCGAAAAGGTGAATTGTCCTTTTATAATGCATGGATAGATTCCATTCCATCGTTGAAATTCGTAGATCACGTGATTTAACGGACGCGGTTAAAACTGCCTCCAATTGTATTATTTGATTCCCAAATTGACAAATTTATGCATCGATAGTTCTCAGTTGTTTGTGAATTTTCATATTGCTATTGAATAATCTTCTTTTTGGTTTAATTTTCATGCAAAATTGTGTTCAGTTGAGCAATCCTACATTCGGGCGGTTTCTGGATCGAAGTTTTGTTCCCCATGTGATACAAATCCTCCACCCCAGGGTTATGTTTACACTCAGTGTGTCTTCGTTCTGTCTCTAACCATTGAACATCCAACGGCGCTATCAATTTGCCCTTTCTCATTCCTCTATACGCTTACACACAGAGCCATCGTATTCCTGTTGGAACTGAGCAAAATGTGTGATGCTTGTTCACGTTTTTGGCTCCCAGGGCAGAATTAAGGTAGCTGGTAATCAAAACACTTTCATTGTGATCTTTGTCCGGTACACATCCATTTACGATACCCAGTGAGTATTATCTCACAATTGATGGAATGTTGTTGGACGCTCACCGCCCACGCAAAAAGCATGTGGATTGCGCAATCGAAATTATATGATTCTCTCGGACTTTCCGAACAGCCTGTGCATCTCGTCGTCTGATAAATTTAAACATCAATTGACGATGTTCATGCATGAATGTGCGATACGGTACACCGGAACTGAGAGGTTTCATTTCGACAATAAGTGTACCAACGTAGGCCATGTTTGGTATGCGTTTTGAACCTTCAAAGTGTAAAATATTCCTCCGAAATCGGATTGGTCCATTACCCTGACTGAGGAAGTAGACGAATTTTTGTTATTTGGGCAGGCACATCTCTATTGGTGGGCACATCATGGATAAAGTGTCAGCTCGCATACAGAAGGCTCGCTTAGCCTTTGCCAACTTGAGATATTTGTGGCGTCGTCACTACATCTGACTGTCTGTGAATGGTCGAGTGTATGCCATGGCAGTTCAGCCAGTTCTGCTATATGGAGCAAACACTTGGCCAGCTTCGCCGGTAGATCCGTGGCAAGGAAGACGAATGTAAGCACATCCACAAACCCACAGTACAGTACTCGTGACAAATCACAGATCGCGGCGACAGCGACGCGGGGCGACAGGGAAACAATTACGGACAACGATATGAATGAAGAACTAATGCGAGTGATCACTCTTACTTGGAGAGATGAAGCCGCTCAGGTTGGAGATCCCTCGGAACCACCGAATCACATTGCATATAGAGCTACATGGGGGAGGAGATGGGAAAAAATAACGGGAATGTGGTCATCAGACAGGAGGGACGAGGGTCAGCAAGAATTGAGCGGGAAGTGAAAGGAGACACATGGATACGATATGCTTGACAAAACACACGGAAACAAGGAATAGTTTCACCAATATACAAGGGTGACTGTCGTAGTGACCCAGCTGAATTCCGCCCCGTTAATCTCCTCCCCGTATTATCTGAAGTCATGGAATCTATAGTGATGAGTCATTTGGAAAAAGACAACGCTTCATCCCTGGTACAACAAGGATTTCTTCGCAGGTGATCGTGTACCACTAATCTACTTGTGGCCTTAGAGGAGTGAACAAAAGCAGCGGATCACAGTGATGCAGTGGACGTAGTGTATCTGGACTTCTGCAAAGCATTCAACCGGGTGANATGAGTCATTTGGAAAAAGACAACGCTTCATCTCTGGTACAACAAGGATTTCTTCGCAGGCGATCGTGTACCACTAATCTACTTGTGGCCTTAGAGGAGTGAACAAAAGCAGCGGATCACGGTGATGCAGTGGACGTAGTGTATCTGGACTTCTGCAAAGCATTCAACCGAGTGAACTACAAAATACTGCTGATTAAATTACATAATTATGGAATTCGAGGATTTGTACTGGTTTGGAAAAAATAATTTTTTCGACAACGTACCAGACGTGAGTTTTGCTCCTATAAGAGAACTCATCAATAGTGTTGATTGGAAGAGCTAAACAATGTGCATGAAGGTGTCGTCTGTATGATGATCAGTTCTAATTCATCCATATCCCTTTTTTCACACACAACTACTCACAAGTAACTGTAAGGTGAATGCGAATCTGTATTGACCCCCCGAGGTTTTTCCATCGAATGGTATAAAGTTGTATTGCAGTGTTATGCATACCTTTTTTGTCGACTTCCGTATACACATATTTCTCCTCTGGTTTGTTTGCTTCGCATCTGTCCTCGCCACCACAGTTCGCAAGTCAGTTCACCCTGAAACCGAAAATCCTGTCCCAACTGATCGCCTCTTCTAGCGCTCATGGTCCGGATCGACTCATCCAGCTGGCCTCGGATCTTCTGTGTTCGAGCACGGGCTCGGTCACGAATGCGGTACAAATGAATGAGTCGGAGAAATCGGCTCAGACCACATGGTTACGCAGCCAGCTCACGCGTAGCGTGGCACGATTTATGGCCTCACGTCCGACCGACTGGATCGGTTGTGTTCGACTAGGCCGTGACAAGTTTGAGCGTTACTTCAACCACAAGGTCAGTTTGAATAAAAAGGTTCCGTCGTTGTGTTTCATCAAATCTTTCTTCATATCCCAACGATATTACTTTGGGAATTCAAGCAACCCACATCCTCCAGTTCTTTCCTCCTTTCCGATTTATTGGAAAGTGTTCGGACGCTCAGCATTATCTATGTCGTCCTCTTCCATACCATGCACCTCTCATCCTACCAGAATCTTTATGGTTCACTGATTCCGATCCCAACTGCTCGGTATCCGGTTTTTTGTTCACAGCTGAACAGTATTACCTCGATACCAGTCCCCCACCCCATGACACACTACCGTCGATGAGTGTTAGTNCGCCAACGACCATGTTTACAGACGATGCAAAAATATGGAAAACCGTGACAAAACTCGAAGGCTCATTGGCACTTCAGAGAACACACTTACTGCTGCCTAGCAATGGTGGATCGAAAATGACATGGAATTTAATGTATCAAAACGTACGATCGTATCCCTTAGTCACAAAATTCGGTTACCGTATTTTCTGGAAGATCGACAATATCTTTATACCTCAAATGATAAGGATCTCGGTGTATAAGACGACCTAAGTTGGTTTGCTAAAGCGAGTATTTGGCAAATTTGAATCTACGCTGTTTTCGCGGTTGTTATCAGCCCACATTCGAGCCCATATAGAGTATGCAATTCAGTAGTGGAATCTATGACTGCAAAGCGATCGCAAGATTCTGGAACGTCTACAACGAATGCTCATCAAAATGGTCAAGGGACTGAATTCCAAGACCCATGTGGAAAGAATAGAATTTTCGGGGCTGTACTCCAAACAATATATCCGAATTCGAGGAGACTTCATCAGGGAGGCATTTGATCAAATTATTGCACCAAAAACGTCGACTAGAATGTCCGCGTTATTCAATTGTTCTCGGAGTGTTCAGTATTTATAAGACTCTACCATCTCTTGTTATTTCTGAACCCATAATGGATTCTTGCAAGCAGAAACTGGACGAACCTTTGACAATTCTTAAATTCCGACATCCGCAGCAGTGCACAAACACAAAGAACATTTGCGATATTCCTCATTTTTCCATGGACTGTAAATCGATCTACTTGTGAGAAAAACCCGAAGTGGGACAAGAAAAGCAACTGCTTGCGAGGATTTTCCATAAAAAACTTGGATTTTGATAAGCTAAATCCACGTGTCAGCCGTACGTTCAGACCGCGTCACGTCATCCACATTGTGGTTACTGAGTACACTAATCCCGGGTAGAAGTCGATTCCGAAGACACAATAACTCGTGTCTGGTTAGTCCACAAACCAGTAAGATACGAATGATAGTGGCGCAGTGGTTTGGTCACTGTCAGCGGTGTGTTTTGGACCCTACGGACCGAGGTTCGAGCCCCACCACCGACACCCAACGTTGGCGTTAGGAAGCTTTGCTATCGTCCGGTTCAATACCGCGCCTAACCTAGCGGAGACTTATGTGGCTTGCCAATCCAAGTCCCGGTTTCCACCAATGAATAAGCAGGTCCTCGTGACAATAGGGTTTACTCCGTCTGATGTTCATCGCACTAAAATGTAATAGAAAAATCTGAAATTTTGTTATCCATGAATCGTAGACCATCAACACTTCCGAATAATCTGTTCCTAACATCTTATACATTGAAAACTCACAACACCTTGAACACCTAGGATGTTTTCTGTCTGCTGATCTCAAGTGATCCTACCACGTAAAACAAACAATATCTTAAAGCTAGAAAGCTGACCTTTTACATTTCATACCTTCGACGTTTGAGGGTGTCATTGTACCTCACCTCCAAATTTACTTTCTTGAGCATTTTATGCCATTGAACCTACTGCTCTCCCGTTATTTTCCCCAGTCTATTGTCTAAGGATTTCATATTGATCAGACGCTCTCTGAAAAACATTTCTAGATATGGAGCTGTTCCTTATATGGCATTGGTCGACCCCATTGTCAACCAAAACCTTAAGGCGTTTGGCCGTCTGTGCGTGATTCAATCTTGTCCGATACACCACATCCGACCTCATCTAGCTCCATTTTCACTTCTGCCACCCACAGTAAGTTTAAACTTCTATACAATCGCACTGCAGCTTTTCACAATTTCGTTGTACCTAAACTTTCTCGTTTATTGGTTCTGCCGGGACGAATACCAAACGAACTGATACACAGTCTCATGCGAATTGTCATGCTGTGGTTATCTATTATTTTTACTACGTGTTCTCATACCTTCTCCTCAGTATTGTCTTTTGATAATCTTTCATAACTTCAAATCGATTTCAATAGCGTGTATGTCCACAGAGTGCACTGTTGACTGGACTGGACTGGACTATTTTGTGCGTCAGATCGACAAAGCCGATAAAACACTTTCCTTATTTCGATACCAG